TTTCCTTAACTTGAGAGACCAAATGTCACACCCATGCCAGACAAAGTAACTTACATAGCTTTGCGTGTTTTAATATTTACTTTCTTTAGTTTACGAACGAGAAAACAAAACTTTCTGAAATGCATGGTAGCGAGCATTCCAAGAATTTAGTCTGCTTTTAATTTCTCACTTCAAAATTTGTTTACAAATGATAAATTTAGCTTTGTTTTTTATGTGTTCCTTGGTACTATGCAACACACGTATTGATTGTGAGGAGTATATGAGATTTGGAAGTCATGCTCCAAAGTTCGGAACACTTCATCTGTTTCACTTCGGAACAGTTTTCTAATTCGGCCACTGTTGTCGCCACTGTGCCAGAGTTGTTTGTTCTACCGGGCTTGACGCTTGTTTGGCGTCCTAATTATAGAATTACATAAAAAAAACTTGTAGTGGAAGCATTAGTAAACGATAACACGTACTTAAATGGTTTGCGTATGGCCGCCGAATCCAAATAAAACTGTTCACTTAATCTTATCTTTAAGATTCAGATACCTTCTTTATACAGTCGATTTTTCGTATTTACCGTAATTTTATCTGTGTGCTTTCAGTTACTGAGGATGATTGACTTGTCTGTGATACCTCATTCTTCTGCATATATATCTACTGTCATTCTGTCTAACTTATGCGTGCACTGTCAATATGTCTTTATATCTGACACAGAAGGTTGGTCTAACGGAAGTGGTTCGAATTTCTCTTCGAGAAGTTTTCGGTTCCAGTCCCAGCCAGTTTATCTGCGAACTTTATTATTTACCCCTCAAAAGAATCATGGAATAGTGTTTCCACATGTAATTAATGATTGTCTTTCTAAATCCTCCTACAACAGGTATAAATTTAACATGTGTAGTTGAAGCAGCGATAATACCTAAGAAACTGAAGTTTTATGTTCTCACGGTGGTGAAGTTGTCGATGTTTAAAATGGCTGGACTTCTAAATTGTTGCCCCGTGTAGTCTAGTAGAAGTTTACCGACATTTCAGAGGTCCTTGCCCTGATGATGGAGGCAGCAAGGTCCTCGCCACCCACCTGGGATTCAATATGTAGATTCCAGTCGCCGGCCAAGATAATCGTAATTTAATTGTGTGAGATAAGATGCTATCGTAGAATGCTCAGACATTCAGTACGCTCACTCGTGCCTTACACTGAGATACGCCATTATGCGGTGTCTATTTTAAGGAAATCGATTCTTTCCGAACTGTTTGATGTAACGAACAGCCAGGTCTACTGTAGAATATGTTTACAGAGCAAACAAATTTTTTTTCCAATTTTCAGTCGTCTTTTCACCATTTAGGAAATAGGTAAGTTTAGTCATGTGTTTGAGTTTTAATACCAAACTATTCTGAAGCGAATTAATCCGGAATTAATATTTCAGGCCTGGGACATACATCCATAAAAATTCTGTTTTAATGTCGATGAAAGACTCTCGGGTTACGAGCCGCGTCAGGTGGCTGAATGGTGAATAAACCATATTTTAATGTCGTTAAAACCAATTGTGTTAGAATTATGGCTGCAGGAATGTAAGACGAGAAGAGCGATGCTCAGTTTTTCCATCATCGGGGCAATAAGTCACTTATCTGCCATATGACGGAGGCAGCAAGCACCTCTGAAACGTCTGTAAACTTCTGCCAGAGTATTCAACGCAACGTTCCAATCAGCATACTCGCTGTCGTGAGAACCTGAAATCTAACCTATCAGAGATCTGATATTTATGTGGTCCTACTTTAATTGCACAAAATCATGAACCGATTAATTATCAGAGCTTTCATTTTGATTTAATATCGATCTCTTGTCGATCGAGTTATATTCTGTGTACATTTATGATTGCCTTTAGTCGAAACATTGAATTTTAATAGTACATGTATGTTAGAGCTGAACTGTAAGAAATTTACGAACTCGTTGACAGAGATAAGAATAATATTTGGGTTAAGGTTTGGGATTTCAGTGATGAAATAATTCTTACTTTTCAGCAACTCATTGGCCTTCCCCTGATTCCGAGAGGACTGTCCATCAGCTCTGCAGACAGAACTTTAAGAAATGAGAACCAAAATGGCTGCATGCCAAGTTCAAATAATTGTGTTATTCTGAGCCAGAACTGCGTTTTGCTTAGCAGAGTCCTCCTAGAGATGCTGACAGTACCAGCTAGTCAATAAGTTCCACGAGACTGTCATATTTTGTCGGCTCGGAGTTTCAAGACGCGAGTCTACGCTCTTAAATGTCGCCCTGTATTCTCTCGGCTGCAATGAAGGGAGAGTCCGCGGGCGAGCTTAAGAACGAATTGGGGTTGCCATATTAATTAAATGAAGTACTCATGTAGTGGACAAGAAGCGATACCTAACGATGTTCGAAGCAAATCTAATTATAGCAGACACACACTTTTATTTAATGAGCAGAAGACTCGAAGCTATGGCGGTAAATTTCAACTCTAGACACAATTATCGATTGTGCAGACATAGAGTTGTGACGTCATGTCTGCTCCGCACGAATGTAGGGGGCTGTTCTACTTGAGGGCTTGCAGTTTTTCAGAATTAAGACTCTTTTTCACAGTCAGTTTTTGAGCACACTTGTGAAATACAGATGTAAATAATTTACATCTTTTAAATCTTAACTTTTAAGCGTACCGCGTTACTTATTACCGGATATTTCAACTCGTTTTTACCAGTTTATTCGTACATTAAACTATGCTTCAGTCGCCAGGCCTGAAGTCCTTCAGAATAATTCATATCTACCCACTAGTCCACACAGCGTTACTAACCCAGAAGACCAACGTTGACATTATTACCGCCGTGAGAACCTCGTATTTCTCAGCTGTCGGATGTCTGCCCTACAATTTGCAGGACAAGTTTAAGGTCCCCTACTTTACATAAATGTGAAATCTAATATTATTTTTATGAATCGGAGATCATAATTCAAATAACATAAACGCAGTCCCAATGAACATCTGCTATTCATAACGTAGTCGATACGGTGCTTGCTGCCTCCATTATCATAGTAGGCCGCTGTCTACCAGATTACATGGTACAACATTCCAGAAGACGGTCATCTTGAATATGCCACCAGCGTTTATAAATTCCATCTTCCTTTCCCGAAGTTCTTTAACACTTGCAGTAGGCGACTTCACTATGCGCTCACCTCGCAGTCATGTGACACCCCTCGAATTGACAGCAAAAATGCCATAATAGGCTGAATTAGGGGATATGGATGACAGTGGTCAGAGTTCAGAGCCCTCCGTGCACTCAGAGTTATATATTGCCTGGGGTTGGCAGATACAGCAAAACCAAAGTACAGAAGGCCAAGGACGATAAACAAGACAGTTGATCAAGTTCTAGTTTTTAACATGATTGCCGGTTACGCTCTGGATAAGGATAGAGTTTAATTATAAACAGCTATAGCCCTGATGACGGAGGCAGTATGACCTCTGAAACGTTGGTTAACATCGACCAGACTACACAGCGGAACAACCCAGAAGACAGAAATCTTCATACTCATCGCTGTGAAAACCTCAAATCTTACATACAGGACATTGGAACTTTCTATTTTGCGAAACACGTTCTTAAGTATTGAAATGGACGTACAAGGTTCAGAACAACAAGGCCACAAAAATTGTTAAGAGATTGAAGCAATAAACGTGTTGGCTAAATGAAGGACGCAGCGGTCACTCAATGAGGTGCTTAGAGACAAATGGGACCCTTTTTCAATGCGCCCAACCGGAATATATCGACAGCTTGACAAACTTCAAACACTTGCTGAGCGATTTAACCTAAGTCGTATAAAAGAGTTATATTTGTACTTAAAACAATAAATCTTTATTTGGGACGGGTGTGATTTGCGGAATGTAGTACCCACACGTGTTTGCTGTAGTTGTACTGTCTGATGTTTGCTTTGAGAAGTCTGGTCGTTAATTTGTAGGTTACGTAAAGTTGTTACGTCATTTATGATGTGACGTACAGTCGAATGTGACGAGGAGGATTCTATGTTCATTGAAATGGAGGTGTGTAAAGGAGGAGGAGTTGCGTTTGGAAGGTACAGAGTGGTACAAAGAAGGTAACTGCTCTTCATTAGCACAGTTGAAAAACGAAATGACACCCAAGGTCGAAGTTTAGAACAAATTAGTTATCCAGAACAACTGCGACAATTACAGCTGTGTCGGTATAGTAGTCGGGGCGAATCTGTGCTTTAGAAGTAAAAGGCAAGGGGTTCAGAGGGATGGAAGGGGTAGCAGCTTTGGACACATGTACTGTCCATTACATAAACACTGTTTCCCAGCTGCAGTACTTTGTGGATCTCTGTCTTACAAACCATAATTCAGTTTGAGTTCTCTTCAGTTCTGTTGCCTTGTAGGGCGACACTCCATATTATTCCAGCAATCGTCTGGAAAGATGAGAGGAATCACGAAAAATTTAATTTAGAAAATCTACTAAAAGATAAAAGGAGAAGATACGGATAGTCAACTTCGGCTGAAACTCGAACCCGTTTTGTCTTAAACAAGAGAGACATGGAACTGTTGCGCGCAGACGCGGATTAATTTCTGGCTCATAATGACTCGTATGTTGTCACTGTGAACTGTGAAACTAATACTTAAAATGGCTTTCATGACTTATTTTAAGGGTTGCAATTTCTAAATTTTGACTGTGAAGTTTGAAGACTGATTTTACATATTTGAGGTTTTCATATCTGCGAGGTTCACGATGATGTTCTGGGTTTTGACGCCGTGTAAAGTCGCAACGTTTCGAAAAAAACATCCCTCTCCATTATCAGGGCTGAAAGTAAGGGGTGATTTGTTGTTTGCTTTCTTGGACGTTTCGTCTGTAGAGCTGATAGAGCTTTGATTAATGCGAGAAGGTGATTATGAATAATAAACGAGTAAGAATTTGGTCATAAATGTAAGAAAATTGACCCCTCCTGCATTTTAGATATGCAAATTAAGGTAAAAAGTTTCTTGATTTATTTTCTTGTGATGATGTTCCAGAAGAGTACACAAAGATAACAACGCCTCGCCAAGACGTGCTGTTCAAGAAGGGCTACTTGGGCCGAAAGCGACCGACTGCAACATCTGCAGCCGAAACCACTGCCAATGTGAATAACAGCAACACGAATCATGATTATTCGGCACCCGATGTTGCAAATGGAAACTTCAATGCCAATGCGACTGCTGAACAGAACGGAGGTGAGTAAAGATCCCTGTTTGTACGGCAGAGTCCTCATTATCCGACCTAAACGGGACCGAAGGACGGTCGGATAATCGAGTCTGGAAATTTCTGTCTCTGTGTGTCGGTACATCAATACTTGGGGGTTTGGTAAGAGGGATAGGAGGTGTCATGTCGTTTTAGTGTCGTGTTATAAGTAGTAGCATATTTTACATTTTTTGCTCACATATAAATAAATATTTCCAAATTCCTGCATGGTACAGTCTGCCTAGAAAAGTTTTTAGTTACTCGGCTGGTAAAGAAAATCCCTTATTTTATGAGATCCAGACGTTGCCACTGTGTTCACAAAGGGCATCGCTTCACCGAATCACGAACGATGAATTGAAGATCATTTTTGATATTTTTGGATGAAATATACGTTTGCGTGGGATAACTGAAATAACCTTCTCAGAAATTCGGGATAACCAGCCTCCAAGCCTGGATTCGAACTCAGTGACCACCCCCGAATGTGAAGTAATGCTGATTATTACTCAGCCATTGCGTCAGGAATTCCAGCAGAACTAGTAACAATATGACATTGCATTTGCAAGAACAGCAGAGGAATTACAGTCAGGTATAGAATCGGCAAACTGCTTGGCGTTCGAGAGACCGTTGCGTGCTGAAAACATCTGTCTCAGGATTCAGATTCGTCGAGTCCACAGCCAAATGCGATTTGAATGAGTAGTATAACTACTATCACGTTCCTACAGTTGTGACGACACCCACATACGAACTTGTTTGCCTCAATCTTCGTAATAATGAGATAAACGGAGCGTTATCTTTCTTCAGGAGCTGATAGTCTCTTAGATCGTCAAGATATTTTCCTACATTTCATGCGATCTCTCGTCACTGAGCCTTTGGATCTAGTCCACGCTCACATATTTCATTCTTTGAAGATCTCGAACTTATCAGTCAGTGAAGCGACTGGCTTCGGGGTGGATAACAGACTTTCATTTCTCGGCAAGGGGAGGCAGTTTCCTCTTTGGCACAACAGCCACCTCGCTCCGATTCGACAATAGCGAGGATTTCTTCCTCCCAGAAATAAGACTGCTGCACCATGAAGCTGATCTCTCAGCTGCGTCCAGTGAAGAGTTTAAAAATTTCTACAACACTTCTTAATGGTGTGATCCTTAGGCACACGGGAAATTTCTACATTTTACCTTTATCTTACCTCCCATCTACGCCTAGGTCTTTCGAAATGCCCTTTCCTTATTAAAATATTTAATGCATTTATTCCAGTAAGAGCGTACACAGAATTATATGTGTAAAAAAAAGATTGATTCTACAAACACCTCAGATTTTTATGATAATTCACTTCGTAAAGTTACATTTCTTTGTCAAATTCCTTCGCATTTTAATCTCGGAAGAATCGCTTCTGACCAAAGATAAGAAACCGCGCATGATTTGCCCTGACCAAAGGATATTCATATCACACCAAAAAATTTAAGAAAAAAAGAGTGAGCGGAAAAGTCGGTCACGAAAACAAACACTTGAGGCCTGACCCAGACGAGATGCTAAAATCGAACCTTTCGAGAAAGAGTGAGTTATGATAACGAGGAACTAATCTCCCGGTTCATTAGGTCACATGGGGCAATGATCCACCAAAAATAAACATCGCACTTGTTTCCTATTATGTTGTCTTCACTCAGCCCCTCGGCAGTTGCTGCTAGCACAGAAATTAAAATGGCTGGATAACGGTAGGACGACCACATTCTCAGGACTTCCAAACGTCCTTTTCTCTGCACACCGAGAGTTTCTTCAGGCTGTACTTCAACCCACATCCGTTTTTGCGTCTACACGACTTTGCGCTGAAGTGCCGTATCGAGTTGTGGCTCACTTCTCCCACAATAATATTCCTCGATCCGCCACTGATCAGATGACTGTCGCTGTTTGTTGCAGAGCCCATGGAGAATGATCACACCACGAACAGCGACATGATGAGCCCATCAGAGGACGACCCTCATTACATGTACCCTGCGAACGGCTACGTGGACCAAACAGGAGGACCTCCTCCTGGCCTCTACTACATAAATGGTGGGTAAATCCTGATGATGGAGGCATTAATCTGCTCCGAAACGTCGGTCAGGCTAGACGGTTGAACATTCCAGAATATAGCAATCTTCATAGATGAAGTTAATTGTGTAACAATTAGTAGATTGCGAAGACGGAAACGAACCTTTGGGTTGCATAAAAGGTTGGAAATTGCTTGGTTTTCCGAGCGATTATCGGTTTTTCAAGGACTCTGCTCCATGGAGTTAGTTTTAATGAACAGAGTTTTATATAATTTAAAAACAGTGGTTGCACAGAGCTGGAATGTTCTACTTAAATTTATTTTATACATTGCGCACCATTTTCACGCACAAAACGACGAGTTCAGTAAGCAATACAAAATTCTTGGAGTCGTGCCCCGTTCTTAGAGTTGATGCATTGCTTGTAATGTCGCTCGATATGCATATTTTCCACAGAAAAAAAACTTCCTGTGCCGAAATTGTTTCAGCATTCGGTGTTATTGTTCTCTTATCGAGGTACACATTGCTAAATGCTCTGCGATCGGCAGAAAATATAGTTTCCGTGTGGTTTAACGGTAAAGAATGGACACATTCTACTCGCGCACGTGTTTTGAGTAGCGGCCTAGCAACTACCGTGACCTCTGAGTTATGTGATAGAGGGGGTTGAGAGTCTATTACTCAAGGTTTGGCATTCTTCTGATTGCATTTGTGGTTGTTTCTGGATTAGGGTTTAAATGGAGCATCATTTGTAGCAGGTAGGAGGGGCTATTGGTATAGCACGAGGCTTGACTTTGCATAGTTTCATATGAAATATTTGGTGCGATTATAATTTTTGAAGACAGACATAGGCCGACCCTCCCCGTCCACGTAACAAGGTTAACAGTGACGCATTAAAAAGGAATTGCTTGCAGGTAGTGGCTATGAGCTCTTTGACCCCTACTCTGGTAACGTGACCGTGGTAGTGGGCCCTGCGCCTCACTTTGGGGGCCCTGGAGGGGGTCCTCCTGTTTTGGCAGCAGTTCCATGCCAGCCCCTGCCACTGCAGCCTCTGGAGTGGTTCAACCCTGCCTTCTTACCTTACGTCACTGCGCCTTGTCACAATGGCCTCGCTTCCGCCAGGGATCGGAGGAAGCGGTACTCCACGGACTCCCAGGTACTCCATATATATGTTCTCTGAGGTTGGGGATCAGAGAAATGGAACGCAATCGAAAGGCCTGGGTAAAAGAAATCTCGTGACATTTCTTTATAATTGAAGCTAGCAATTTGTGGCAATTAATCAGGTTGCAAGTTACAGCAAGTTGATTCCTGATTATCTTGGGGGCGAATTAACCGTGGCGTGTCGTATTTAAACTAAAATTGAAAAAAATGTATCTAGAAAATTTGTTGTAAAAGTTAGAACGTTTAAAAACAAATTAATAAAGACAATAATGACACATTTAACGTATTAGTATAAATCAGGTATTACTGAAATCTGAAGTTTAGTACTTAGAACGTTATTACTCTCCAATAGAATCCTTTCTTAAAAATGGATGGGTATGTATTGTATTAAATTTTGTATAAAACATTTTTTTTGTAAATCTCTAAAAAATTAAATAGTTTTTGTCTGTAAATTAACTTACGTTTTTGTTAAATTCGCTTTTTTTTTAGTTTTTCGGATTATCCGAGAAAATATATTTCCCATTTCAACCCGGATAATCGAGGCCAATTTCAGAAACCGTAGTGAGATTCCATTTGATAAGTCATCAGTAAACTCAGCACTAAAAGGGCCAACATTCTGATGGGCAAGGTTGTTGAAGAGACCTTTAGGTAGACAAAGAAATCACACAAGAGTAATATTAAATCGTAACTACTGGAAACAGATTATTTTTATTTCGTTTCGGTTATGTTCCGTTTGTCAGTGTTTGTAGTAACTACTATTAATATTCGGTTTTCATAATTGCAGTTAATTAACTACAGTCCGCTTCTTCGTAAAAAAAAGGCGCACGTTTCTTAAAGAGGAACTGATGATATCCTATGCTGAAGAAACCTTTTCTTATATTGTGATTTCCCTGGCAGAACTGCAGCCCGCAGAGCTCCGAGTCTACCGAAGCACCGGGTAGCCCGCAGGAGTGCGATATGGAAGCGACACAGGCCAGTGAGCCACCGGGACCTGCAATATACACGCAGGCCCCAACGTACGTCTATCCGGGTTACATGTTCGGACCTCCCATGTATAACGTTAACGGTAAGTAGAACTCACTTTGCCCGTTACTAGTGTTTTCAGACGAAGAACTTTAAAGGCTTTGTAGGCACTCTTTGGAAAACTGTTACGGGGTTGCGCTATAACGCCATATTATTTTGAACAACCAGGAAACCTTGTGTTTCCTTCCTTCTTTGTTGCCTTTAAAGCCTAAGCCCTTTGGCTTACCAAGGAAGCAGACAGGAAGCAGTCTCATCGCCAAGGCAGTTCTGGCGAAATGTCAACATGGTGATGACGATCGATGTCATTAGCGTGGCATGGTTAGAAATTACGGGGCAATGCGTGAATGAAGTGTGGTTTGAGGTGTATAACGTCTCCAGGAGCTTCGCTGTAGCTGGTGATGTCGCCCAGCTTCGAAGAAAACCACGAGGAAAATGTGATGTCCGTCAGAAAACCCTAGAGAAAAAGACCTTGGATCTTGGTTTCCTGTACGGAGCTCAAATGAGATTAATAATGTCTCTGTTGCGTTTGTTATTACTGTGGGATAAGAGTGGTAGAAGTCCACAGATTTTTTAAGCCGTAGTTATCAACGAGACAACCTGGCCCGTGGTGTGACGTGAAGAACACTTTTGGAATTTTGATGTACTCTGAAGAGTGCTCTTTTCAAATCATGTTAAATTATAGGCCTCAATGCCAGATCTCTTTTGACCAATTCTTACAAAAAACAAACAAACTCGAAGGGTTTCCGCTGCTATTGATTTAGACTCGCCGTAGGAAAAAGTTGTTTACAAAGAAACGTGATTTGACTGTGTTTTGAAACACGGCTGTGAAAACGCCGTTGTTGGTCTTCCGGTTTCGGAGAAACGTGCTGTCTCCATCTTCAGGACCAACATCCACGTGGTTTTATCTGTTCATTCCTCTCTCTTAGATTTGAAAGACGTGGAAAAGAATAAAAGGTTCAAATAATTCCTCCAGAATACGATCTCTCGCATTTCTTTAATTTCCTGGGCACTGACTTATGCTTCTCACGTGGGTCTAGTTTTCAGACCTAATTTCATCCGGAAGTATTTTAGAGAACGTGCAAATTAAGACTTGAGAATTGTTGCTTAGTTACGCTTGATTATTATTAATTATAGGGAACTCAGCACCTGCGTCTTCTCCGTTACGCGTATCTCTGACCGTAGCTAGTGTGTCAAAGATTATGTCGCCGTCCGTCCACCTGTTCCAGTCCAGGAAATGCTGCATTGATTTTGATGAAATTTTGTTTGTGGCTCAGAGTTCGTTCCCAGCGTTATGCACTCAAGATGTATGAAGTGAGCCCTGAGGTTTTCTTACTGCGAGGGGTTGTTAAACCCCAAGCTGGAGGACCACCCATCATCAGCTGTCCTCAGGTCTGCAGGCCTTTTAATAACACAACACTAAAGCCAGTGAAAGTAATGAATCATCCACGCATTGCGACCAAGATTCGCAGCTTGGGAAGCATTTGTCTTTCAGCAGGCGGACAAACCCCAAGCTACTATAATCATTCTTCATTTTAGTTCGACGTGTTTTTGTGGTGTCATTAGCATTGAGGTTTGTAACGTGTTTTATTTTTGTCAAACAGTTTCCAACAGTTGTGCGTATTAATAGCACTTTTTCGTATTTTTTCTAAGATGTCCTCGTGATAGTCTAGGCGTGGACGAAGTTAGACGTTTCGCAGTTGGAGTCCTGCGCACGAGGAATAGACAAGCCTTACCGCGTCTCAACATTCGTGACTGTTAGAATGCCAGGGAAGTAGGCGAATGTGTATGACACGTGATATTGTCACCCGGATATTTGCCAGAGGTGATTGATTGGTTTTTAGGTTATTGAACTCTTTCCGTGATGACTCTTAATGTAAAGAAACCTATTAGAAAGATATATTTCAGTACCATTGTGTGTAATTTCTGTTTTTGACAAATCCCGAACAGTTAAACTGCAACTGTTGAAATATGGGGCTTCTTTATCTTTGTTTCTTTTCCGATCTTCTCAAAAGCCAATTTAATGCAGACTACCTCCCAACTGAATATGCCTCGAACACACACTTATTCCTTTCCTTTTTGCGCTTTCAGAACAACGCTGTTGTATTTTGTATCCATGTGTTCCTCGAATCTGTCAGGAAGCGTGATTTAAGTTTCGTTAGTTACCTTTTTTATATCCTACAAAAACATTTTGTGGTTACGTTCACTTCCAGGTTATTTGTTACTGGCTTACATCTGTGCCCAGCCATTTTCAGTAAATAGTTTGCAGTAATACGTAATAAACGGACAAACGCTCTGCGTACGTAATGTAATATTATCTCAAAAGGTAGCTGCATGCACCATCTAGTGAGAGAGGAGGAAACTATGTTCTCAGAGTAAGTTCTGGTAATATCCGATAAACTCATCTTAGAATTCGGCGTTCTGATGATAATGTAATGATTTAAACGAGCAGCGTTACTTAACGCAAGAATTAACGTTATGATTTGGGATTAGCAGTATAAGGAGGACACAAATAGGAGCAGGAATTAGGTTCTTTAATTTGTTCAGAAAAAGTTTTTTTTTTTTACAGAGCTCTGACCGAGAAATTTCACGGTTCCACGTTTAATGACGCTAGAATACGTTTACTTGCAGGAAGAAAAGGACTATTAAATATGAAGTTAAAGAAACCTATCTGTTGTAACGCCATTAAAAATTGGCGCAAATCATAAAAGCGAAATATTAGTAACCAGTTTTTTTTTAGAGCTCTGTAAGAAAGACAGTGAAATGAGATTTGTATTGACTTTTATCCTTCGTACTGAACACTTCAAAAAGATATATGAAATCTAAAACTTCTTGACGATGGTGAAAAGTCATTTGAATAAAAATTGATGGTGTGGTGATGTCTTTTAATTCCGGGACTTTCACTTTTTTACTTTGTCCGGAGATAGGGATTAGCTCTATCTAGTGGGCCCAACTGTGTAGGAACCTATCTCCGAAACGTCGTTTTACGTTTTATATTTTATATTTTACTAGACGATGGATAATATCGAAGGAAATTTTTATTCAAATGACTTCAAAAATATCTTTGCCAAATCTTGTTTCGCGTTGTTCCAGAACAGTTGAACACAATAAGGAATTGTAGTCCGTATCTGTAAGTTGTCTAAGATTAACTAATTGGACAAGAAGAAAAGACACGTTTAGAAATGGGCTAATTATGTCGTTCACTTGTCTTTACCCGTTCGTGATTTCCCTGTAATCGGCGACACGACCTGTCGTGACTAACCGGTGTGCTGTCCAGCCTTAAGTATGTTGGTCTATACATTCATTACCTGTTTAGACGTAGGGACAACTGAAACTTAACCGTTATCAGATACAAGAACGTGAAAAGAGGTTAGGTTACAATAATTAACTGTAATGACCGGAATATAATTAAAATACGTGTCAGGGAACTGACTTATTAGTAATTTACGAAATATGCATTTGAATGCAGATGATATTCTGTGCTCGTTACAGTGCATGTGATGGTTCAAAGACTTTTTGGAGACAGCACACGCACCATTGTTTCCTAACAATGTACCACATCTGACTTCTGAATAGCGTAAATTGCGTTCTGTTAGTCTTTGTCTCGTCACGAGTGTCGGCAGAGCCGTCACGAAAATGTTATATCACCTGTTCCACTAATTGTTTAACAGTTCGCATAAATGTTGCAAGAAACGAGGGAGGTTTCCGTGCTATCGTGTTTGAGAATATCTCTGGATATTAGAGGCGGAGCGTTCATGTTAACCGAATTAGCCCGGCTAACAGTTTTAAAAACGAAAAATAGTATTTTTATTACTTTCGTGATCCAGTGGCCCTCCATGCCGTGGAACACAACAGAACCGATCTGATAAAATATATCGTTAGCCAGCTCCAATCAGCTAGGCGTAGTTAGCCAATTAGTTGAGGCTTACGCTTGGGTATAAAAAAAGTGTTGTAATAGCTCGTTCAGTTTGAAAGCTCATAATCTTTTTAGTCTATTAAAATACCACGAGTTTTATGGAACCAGAATGTTTGCTACCGTGTTAACAAGAGCCCACCTCTGCTCCAGATGAACCCCGCCCACAGATTCACGCCCATCTGTAACATTATCCTTCCATCTTATCTTGGTCTCGGAAAGTGGCTTCTTATCCGTCATATTTTCTGAGTGTAATGTTGTGTTCATTTATAATCACAAATAAACGAAGTAAATTAACAAATTGATTAATACAAATATAATTATTGACAACTGTTTTAGGGTTCCGAATACGCGTGTTTGCAGTTTTCATCTACAGCGCTTGTTCTTAAAAGTGAGAATAGGTCAGACGAATTAATTATACTTTAATAGAATATTTTCAAAGTATGTTCAGCCATTGAGTGTTGTATAAAGCTGAATAACCATTTTTATTAAAATACACTTAACTGGATATTATTATCAACGTAACTTAATAAAAAATCAGAGAATTTTAGACCACTCTTCGTCAAATCATACCAAATCCGAACGTTCTTTGTAAACTCTGCAGCAAAAGCGTGAAATGTTGATATTGTCAGAGGCTGTGTAATGTATAACTGTTGTAAAATGTAACCTTGTTGTAATCGTACACGACACTTTTCGACTTCGTGTTATAAATCCTACAATTTAGTTTTGTCCATCTCTCCTTATTTCTGGCATTGGTCTGTTTCTTTTCGAATCGGTGGTGCTTGTGGGAAGTTGTCCTCTACACCAGTGGTATTCAACCTGAAGTACGCGTACCCCCGGGGGTACGCGAATACATCTTAGGGGATACGTGAAATTTAAAAGAAAAATATTTTTTATAATAAACACTGAATAATCAGTAATGTAATTTATTTAATTTATTTTAGGTGTAGATTATATACTATGTATAACTTGAATTATACACCAACAACTTTGGGGGTACAAAGTTGAATAGAAATTATATCTGGGGGCACGCGAACAAAAGAGGTTAAAGTCCACTGATCTACACAACGTTATGGCTGGTGAAGACTGCGGTGTCGTGTAGTGCAGTGCGTTACACCGGTGGTACGTGTGCC